GCGCCAGGACGCTTGCTAAGAAGGATCGGTGCTCTACCACGATTCCCTTGGGTTTGCCTGTAGACCCAGAAGTGTATGCGATGTATGCTGCGTTCTCCGGGATGGATGGACCGGCGACAATGAAGTCCGTCGAACAAAGGGAAGAGATCTTGCTGTCTGTAACGACCAAGGTATGTGCGTTCTGGCCCAGTCGTGTGCTGAGGTCCTGGTTTGAAGGCGAGGAGATGATGATTTGAGCCTCGACGTCAGCATATATGTCGGCCAGACGCGCTTCAGGATAGGATGGATCCAAAAGTACAAACGCTCCGCCGGCTTTCAGTACTGCCAGAATAGCGACGATCGTCCATCGAGATTTCTCGTAACAGACCGGCACCACCATCTCTGGCTGGATTCCCGCGGTCTGGAGTTCTTTCGCCAACCCATTGGATAGTTGGTTCAACTCGGAGTAAGATAAAGTACCGTCCCACGCACAGACTGCCTCGGATGCGGGCCGTTTAGCGCATTGTTGCTGAATGAGAGTATGGATACATGTATGGACTCCGGGTATCTTGATCTGACTGTTCCATTCGTACAGAAGTCGGATGTCCTCATCGCTAATATCTCCTCTTGCCATTGACCTCCCAGGGCAATGCCTCGACTGCCAATCCGAATCTGAGGAGGGTTTTACTTGTTGGTGAGAATCTTTATATTCGCCATTCTGAGATGTAGTATCCGGGGTTGCGGTATCTGATGGCTGGTCCGTCTCCCTTTGATGGGATATTTTGTTGGACTTAGCACCGTGACCCGGCATTAACTTGTTAATAGACATTTTCTCAGTAGCCGTAAGTTCAGGATTCATCGGGCCATGGTGTGACAGGGCTCGTTAAGCTTATACTCGGAGCACTAAACAGGTATATGTACCCGGTACAAGACTTCTTTTAATGTTGCCGGTTGTAGGCGCCTCACTGTGGAAACCAAAGAATCCCTCCACGCGCATAAATTACATGAAATCAATTGAATATGTCCCTACGGGGCTAGCTGATGCGGTGTCTGTACTTGGAAATGATATGAGTTCAGCCTCCCTAGTCCTTGCTTGTTAGTCATTTTCACTACTCTGGCTGCAGCTCTCTGTACAGGATTGTGACTGTTTGGAATTGCGATCATCATTAATGATGCGATATACATGCTGCCCAAGCGTGATCAATCCTGGTTTGGATAGTGCAGCTTGTAGGGGCACTTTCTCTAATATCTCAGTACATGTTGTCCATTCGGATACTCATGTTTCTGTAATAGAATCCCTTGCGTACTGCATGGCTCCCTGCTTGAAGAAATTCCTGATGATTCCTTCCCACATTCCTGAAGTCAAATATGCGTAAGCATCTTCTACGCCCACTCGACAAAGGTTAACAGGCTTGGTGCGATGTTTATCTTACTCTTCCTCTGCTATGGGGATGTTGAGTGTGCGTGTGTAACCCACATTTTGACGTTCTCACATTCGAGAAGGGGACCGCTTGGCTTGCCCGTGGATACAAGCTCACATGGCCTTTGCCTCATGGAATGTGGACGCTTTTCGGCGGAATAAAATCTCTCGTGTATGGTGAGATGTTCCAAGCACGATGCAGGGTAAGTCTAGGTTACATTAATTGCATGTGGTTCAGCTCCCTTGTAGCGACATGACATGTCCCATGTACGGCGAGGTTGTGTGAGCACGATGCAAGGTAAAGTACTAGACTAGCTCCCTTGCGGTGAGATGCATCAGGTACGGTGAGGCTGCCTGAGCATAATTTATGGTAAATTTTAGTTGTAGCCATGTCATACGGTTTAGTGCGGACTGGTGGTGTACAGGGCACAGGGAGCTGTGCTTTAGATAAGCGTAAGGGACGTAATGGTATCCCACTATATAGAGTGACAACCTTGGGGTCTTAAGATCCCCATACTTTGTATCAAGTACTAATAGACAAACAGAACCCAGAAAGAAAGATAAGCCATACGTGTCATCGGGTTGTAGGGTCCTTTTTTACCTATGTTCACGGTTTCCTGTCCGCTAAGAATAGACTTCATGGCTCGGGAAGGCCACTTTTCAGATCTTCATCAAGACGGACTATAATTTCCGCAAACTAAGCTGCGGAGAATATTTTCGTCCTCCTTGCAGGAAAGATTATCGACCTTGCAGGCGTCGCCGGATCCTGCAAACCATATTTCCACCATCCTGGACAGTGCCTACGGAACAGCCGTTCTATCGGACCTGATTCACAATGTTCTGCAGTCCCAGCGAACATCGAATGGGGACCCAAATTGCAGTGATATATTTGCCCCTTTGCTCACTTGCGCGAAGGAAGAGGTCCGGGGGAGGGGCGGCAGCTTACAAAGGAAACTGTTGGATTCACAAGACACTGGGCTTCCGACAGAGCCCCTTACGTCCCCGGGGGATTCTGTAACTACATGCGGGCACCGACAACAACGTACACGGCCAATCCTTTCTGTGGTGCGGTGACAGTCATAGTAACCGATCAACAAGCTCCTCAGACACACAGTCTTGAGGATTACGAGTCCTCCGCCTCCTCTGGCAAGTCCTAATGGTAATACATGGTGAGATAAGGTCACTTTTTCTTCGTATAAGAAAATGAAAGTCCGTGGCAACGTCCAAATCCTTGCCAGGACTGGGCTATAGGTCAGCCAAAGGGTACCGAAGGAAGAGAAACAGGGGAAAGAGGAAATGTAGCAAGCCGCAACATTACTTACTAGTAGGACTTGACATTATTGGTGTAGGCAGCAGACTGATTTTGCATACCATGACGCTGAAAGAAGGCAGTCAACGCGTTGGCGATTCTCATTTCCGGATCCCCGTGAGAGGGTAGTATAACTTCGGCTTGGGGTGAGGTTTCCCCGGACTTATCTCATAGTTTAGCAGACATGGCATACGTGTTTCTGGATCTCCAGGCTGAGTTGGTCTGTCGGGGAGAGACCGCTTGCCTTCAACGATGCATAAGTCCTTCCACAGCTCGCGGAGCATCTGCAACCCCTCCAGGGTCTCTTGGTCGGTAACCATACCGCTCAGAGTCCAGTGTTCGGTTATCTTTGTAAAGGTGACTTCTACCCCAGCAAAATACACCTTGATCCGGGTCTGGGGAGGATTGATCAGGTCGCAGGAAGCAAAGTAAAGATCTGCTATGCTCTGACGCTGCATGTGGGTTCGGAGAAGCTGGCATGCGGCTTTGAATTGACATTTTTGGTCGATCTTTGCGATGGCAGCAATATAATCTGCGCAACGGATTGTCCAGTGACCCGCGCTTTAACTTTGGTGAGTCGTGATGTGAATTACTCACTGAGCAAGCCCCTGAGCGCCCTCAGTAAAGCGGCAATGTCTAAAACAGGAAATTTACGATAATGTAGAAAAACAGGTACGTATCGTGACATAAAACTAAGTCAGAGACATACCAAACACCATAAACCATAGAATAAAAATTCATAAACACTCATCATCATTATCAATAACAACATACATGCCCATACCCATACCCATATATCAATGCCTATATACATATATACTATCGACAACATATCCTAAACTCGGTAAAACATTTTGCTTCTTAAAATAGTACCCTGTCTGGGAATAGCTAACTATTAGTAGTTCCTTATAGTATTGGCTTGGGTAGCGGAGCCCTATGGGGAAGCAGAGCGATGCAAGTTTGCAGTGATTCGCTTGGCTTCGGATCTGCGAGCTGATTAGCCGCCGTGGCCATAGTATTCATCGGCACCGTTGAACCGAGATTGGGTCTAACAGACCAGATGTTGACGTTGAATGCCCTGCACTATCTGGGGTTGATCTGTAGACCTTAGTGGGATTATATAGCACAATACTCATCATGCTCAAATATTTCAATGTAAGAGCTCGCCGATTATCTAATAATAAATAGTGTCGATGACTGAAGAGGTACGTGATATGTACCTGTTCTGTAGATCATCACGATGCGGGCCATACTGGTGATAGAGAGGAAGATGCTTAATGTGCGGCGGTTAAGCCACGGACTTACAGACATCGGTTCATGGTCTGGTAGATTCCTACAGTGACTGTCCCGATATGCATCGGCAACCGATTCGGTCCTGGAACTTTCTTGGAAACTTCGGGGACTTACGGAAGATCGACGATCGTTATATGGGGAAAAGACGGAGCAAGTTTCTCACAAGGAATGTTAGAGTTAGTCTATTGAGCTAATACGGCTGGAATGCCATCTTAAACTTAGATTATCGGGGTTATATTGCAGCAGTGTGTCCCCTTGACCTATGACAAGGATGAGGACCTAAGCCTAAATCATTCTGGTGAAAGGTCGGAGAACCGGAAAAAGATGTACAGATGTTGTCCGCTTTGGGGTCGATGATCTTCATTGCACAATTTTACGAGAACTCGACGCTTCAGTAGAACCCGAGGGTATCTCGGATAGCGAACCTGAAGGCATACGTATTTGTAGCTTGGGTGATTCCAATGGACAGTCTGAATGTTATCCCGGAATAAGTTAAACAGTGTCCGTTTGTCGCATCTGCTCCGGCCCCCCCCCCCCGCCCGGGGGGATACAGTTAGTGTAGGGATAGGGATATCCACTGACAGTTGGGCTGTGCACCGCCAGATAGGATCCGACTGTAAAGTAGGCCGCGGAGGTAGAGCCGTATAAAGTCTTTCTGAATGTGAATCTACACACCTACGTTACATCAAATTATCAAGACTAAATGTCATCACTGCGTTATCACTGTCATCATGACTAGCCACTTCTCATAAGCGTCATTACAACGACATCATATCATAGTCAGATGCTGGCCTTTCCACCCTAGATACCCGCACCATGAGTGGCGGCACATCCCATGTTCCCCATGAACGAAGACCTGAGAGCCAGGAGCCGGTATCATCAGACGCAAGTTCGCAGTTGAACTCTGTTGCAAATTTGCAGAATACTACCTTTGTCATGCCATATGCCATGCTATTCACTTATCAACTAATGCTCATGTATGATGAGTAATAGGCCAACTCACTCTTGGCCAATACAACCCCGCGGCCCTGTCGAAAAGGGATGGAATGCCGCTTTATTATCTTTCTGATATGGGCCGTCTGCACCATTTAGCCAGCGATCAGGAATAAATTTGTCAGGGTTCCAGAAGTGAGTGGGTGAACGTGTGACTGCAAAGATGGGAATATAGACCCGCATGTTTCCTGCGACCCATCGACCGGCTATGAGCGCCCCGCTCGCAGGGGTAACACGATGCATAGCCCCGGGGATCGGGGGAAAAATTCTTAGAGCCTCCTTGATGCAGGCATCTAGGTAAGCAAGATTCGATACTGATTCCAGAGATACCTGGCTCTTGTCGTGGAATGCTGTGCGAATCTCATTTTTGAGACGTGCGAAACACTCAGGGTGCTGAAGGAGGTATGCGGTCAAGGCTGTTATGGTGGTCATGGTCGTTTCTGCCCCTCCAGTCATCATTATGTGGGCATTGGCACGGATGTCTTTCTCAGTCAGGGACAAGTTGCGACTGTTGCGAAAAGTAAGGCCGATGAGGTCAGGTTCGTCGCTCTGAGTACGAAGTCGATGGTCTATGAGGTCATTCGAAGCCTTGAAATAAGCCTTGCGGCGCCACTTCGACATCCAGGGTATAGTCGAGCGGAACAGAAGATTGATCCAGGAGAATTCGGCGAGAGCTGATAGCAAAGTCGCGACCCGTACCAACCTGGGCTGGCTGTGTACCCACGTTCTATGTGCCCCTTTTCGCAGGACTCCCAATTCTTCACCAAATTGGAAATGCCCAACAATCTCAAAAAGCGTATAATGGAACAAATCGCGTATATTGATAGTATTTTCTTCCATGTCGGAAAGGATTTCAACGAGAGCGTCACCATACTTGGCTAGGATTGGCTCCTGACGGGCTAAGGCTCGCCGTGAAAATGCTGGCGCGTAGGCTCGCCGGATTCTTGGGTGATCTGTCTCATCGGCTGCTAGTATAGATGGCCGATTGTCATCGTCTTCAAGATATCTGAAGAAATCGGACCCCCTCTTCATACTTTGTGGCACCGTGGGTGAACTGCTATATATATCCTTCCAGGCTTGCTCATCGATAAAGCTCAGCTCATTAGGAGCGACGCGTACGACTGGTCCATACTTTAGATGAAGGTTATGGAGCCACTGTGCTTGTATCCCCTTCAGAGAGGCGTAGGTTACGGGGATCCTGCTGGCGGCTAGCGTCCGCGGGCCGGGAAAGTCTTTCAGTGGATGGGTTAATAGGTTATACGTAACCACCGACAAGTACTATAGGCCACTCTCGAACTTAGCTCTCTCGATGGCTTATGCAACTTCTCGGAAATAACAGCCTTTCAGAACATACGAGGAGTATTCCTGTTGCCACAAGAATGCTTATCGCGTTTTCTGCCGCCATCTTTAGCCCTGAGATAATATGCGCAGATTCTTTTAACAACTCATGAAGAAGCTGTCTGAAGATGTAAGGTAGGTAGGGTGAGAGACAGAGTGAATATTGCAGGATAGTGGACTGACTGCTCCGTCAAAGGCTGCTCCGTCAAAGAGGGGGGCTTGACCAGATATGCTTGAGCCTGAATAACTGCACCACAATAAGACATTGGATGTCGTCAATATATAATTTACTAATGATAACTCTATAACAGGACGAACTAGGGATGTGAATAGTATACTGCTGTGAGAGCGTGCAACCAAACACATCATTCTCTATACTCCTCTATACTCCTTGCAGAAAATACCACTGTGACCACAAGAGAAACGGGATCCTACCATAGCCGAGGGAGGTATGGCACCATTTAATCACAGTGCTCAAATAGTATGGATGCAGCCTTGTCATACAAGACTCTGTACACCAGTGAGGTCAATCGCAAACCCCCTTGCTTAATCCGACCGCAAGAGTCATGCTGGTCGAACCACGATAATCGTCACTATTAAGAGAATCAAATTTGATACATGAGTTATTCTTGATTATATTAATCAAGATTGGGAAAAATTGTAGATAAGAAGCACATTTCATCAGGGAAAATCTTCGTGGCTTGGCGAATTACATCAGAAAGAGCCTTCATCGACGGCAACGATCACCATGTTGAGAGAAGATGCATATGTACAGATAGCCATGGCCCAACACTTGCTGATCATTTTCTGTTCTCTGTATGCTCTGCATTTACAATATATTACAATCCTCACATGAACTCCATATAATGGCCCAATTAATTTCTTCACGTAATATCACACAGCATAGCCTTTTCTGCATGTCTACATTCTATCACAGTATCCCTCACCACTTGTCAGTGCAACACAGCTGCGTGTATATCCCTGAGTTCACTCCAATGCCAGTTGTATCGAAGGACCTGGCAATATTGAATTTCATCAAAGCGACAGACACCATTATTGTCTCACAGAGTGCGCGATCAATCCGATATGGCAACCTCATGACGTAGCGAAATCCTCCTTGCGAAAGACTCCAATAGTACCGATGATTTACATTATAGTATATAGCTTTCCATCACCTATGAATACCTCCCACGAACCCATTAATCATCAGCATCGCACTGCAACAATGACAAAAGCCCAACCCTCAGTATCACCCGATGACTTCCTTAAAATTATCGTACCCTTCTTGAAAGAAATCCTACCCAATATCCCGCCCTTCGCGCCCGACGAAGCCTTCAAAAACGAAGTCTTCAACAAATTCGCAGCCGCCTCGGGCCTCCCAGAAGACACCATCCCCAACTTCGTCGACACAGGAGAAGTCCTGGCACGATGCTTCTACCCCAGCCTTCCCCGAGATCTACAGATCTCTATAGGAGTTCTAACAGCATACGTCTTCTCGATCGACGACCAATGCGCAGACCCCGAATTTCGCGAGCAGCTTAAACCCTACCGCTCCGTGTTTCTTGGCAAATCCACCACCAACCTCCAATACATCAAGGGCCTATACAAAACCCTCCACGATATAGTTAGTCACTATGAATGGTATGCTGGCGACATGATCATCAAATCGACCATGGACTTTGTGAGCATCAATATCGTGGAGGCAGAGCGGACAGGTGAATTCGTGGTCTCTCCTTCTACTAAGTTGTTTCCGGACTTCTTGCAAGGCAAAAGTGGTATTGGGGAAGCTTATGCATTTTTCTACTTCCCTGAGAGTGACTGGAAGTTGGGGGATTACTTTACGTTGATCCCTGATATAGCGGGGATCATTGAGCAGTTGAATGATGTGTTGTCTTTCTATAAGGAGTCTGTTTTGGGAAATGAACCAGGGACGTGGATCAGGCAGACTTCTGTTTGCAGGGGGATTTCTGAGTATGAGGTTTTCCAGGAGAGAGTAGATCAGTGCTTAGGCAGTATCCGGAGACTGCGTGCTGCATCTGAGGGAAATCCGAGACTGCTAAAGACAGTCAACGAGTTTATCAATGGGTATCCTCTATTCCATCTTAACGCGGGGAGGTATAAGCTGGGTCAGTTTGGCAGTTATGACGGCTGGTTGAATGAGAAAGCCTTTGGTGGAAATTAGAGGATTCGATAGACCAAAGCATTTAGGACCAATTGAATTTAAGGGTGGTGGAACTAAGTCAGAGACTTCGGTTCTTATAATAGTACATTTATGTCAACACCGTGAAGAGAGACATTCATTGCAATCTGGGTGCCCATCACGGCTCTATATAGGGACAGGGCCGCGATGCTCGAAATTTCACAGCAAGACTAGGAGACCGTCTGGGAGGCCTGATATAGGGCGGCCCTTTGATTACATTCCAGATCACGAGGTGCAGACAGGTGTCACACTTCCTCCAAGAAATAATCACTTATTTCCAAGCCGAGACTTAGATTAGGTGGGAAGAAAGACCCTATAATCTGCCCTGTGCTTGGATCATAAGGAAGGCCCTCATCGTAAGTATCCTGAGCGTTGGTGTCTTTGTCCGTTTGCATCAGACTAGGACTTTCTGGAGAAGGCTGGCACTTCACATGGGCTTCCAGAGAATTTGACGAGCCAAAAAAAGGTGAAGGGCCGCTTCCAAATTCACTGGGGCGCGGGTCTGGAGTAGGCGAAAGTCCGGTTGGTCTAGGTCCAGGCGGAACAGAAATGCCGACATCACTTGGGATAGGGTGAATAGGTAAATTCACTCCTGCATATTGTTCGATACGGCGTAGGAGGCATTGGCATAGTAAGCGAGCTTTCTCTGAGGCTGCGTTGGTCTTTGCTAGTATAGCAAGCCATTGAAGGGCTCTTTCAGTCGCCTTAGAAACCATCGAAGCTTTCTCTGGAACGTGACAAACTCCAAAAGACAGCTCTATTAAAAGAACTGTGGTTGCTTGAACAAGGAAATGCAGTATACACCACCACGGTGACATTCTGTACAGTGAAGCAGCATCTAGTCCTTCGGGAAATAGCCTCAGCATATGGCAAGCCGATTCCACGCACTCAGCTGCTGTTCTGTGACAGAAATCCAGCATTTTCTCATCCGAAACCTTGCCTTCCTGCTCCGCAGGATTAGGACGGCGAAGGCATGGCCGTGTTATGCCAATTTTGGTGCTATAGAATAAAAGTGCCAGGCTCATCCGGTGGGTAGATATCGAATGAGTGACCTGTGAGGACTGTGTTGATGTAAAATCATAATCTTTAGGAAGAGTCAAAAGCCAAGATTCGATATCAGAAGTGAGACCTTGTATGGCAAACTCTATCCCTATCCAGGATGTGCGCGCTGCTCCGGGACTGTAGAGCTTGGTTGTCATTTTCTTTGATATCAGCGTGAGCAGAATGACATGAAGGAAGTGCAATGATCCACAAGGAGGACTGGCAGTTGCGCCTGTAGCCTTTGGGGTAGCTATCGAGTGTTTGGCCTTCAGATCAAAATTCAAACCGTTGCCTTCAGTCCCGTGTGATAGACGGAGACAGTTTATCACTTCATCCCTTTCGAAATTCTCTTCGTCAACTGGAACAGGCAGGGGTATTGTATATATAGTATCATCGATGAAAGACGGCCGTCCTGTGACCATGCTAAGTCGGTGATCAAGCATGTAAAGGGACCACCATACGCGATATCGGATCTCCCTGGAAGTATCCGAAGCCGACTTGCTCATGTTGCGCAGATGCAACCCAAGACCAAGGGCTCCACGAACAGCACCTCCACAAATCCTCCAAGCACTTGAATCATTTGTAAGCACTGACATGCATAGGTGACTTGTATATACGGACATAGATGTACGTACCGGTTGATATGCCCCAAAGAAAGCATGTACAAAGCTGTTAGCCCTTCCACTTGTAATTGCTGTAGGTCAGGATGGTGAAAACTCCCGTTATCCATACTCAAGACCGTTGCTCTTGAGAAATACAGCCAGTGATTATTCTTGTTTAATTGCCATTCTGCTTCAGAGATATAAGCATACCTAGCAGCGATTGCAAAGACTACGTTCAAGACTGCTAGCCACTTGTTTCCTGGGCGTAAATTGGCATTGTTGAAAAATGCACGGAACTGTGCTCCGAATGGTGTGGTCCCAATGATTGGAAAAGAAGGATGCACCCGGTCCAAATAGCAGTTGTAGAGCTTTGAAGCTATATCCTTTGACGGCAGTGCATAAGGCTCTTGTCGCTCGATACTTGGTAGCTCTTGATCATCAACATGGTAATTCGAAGCGGATATAAGACTATCATCAGAGTTTTGCAGTGATATAGATTCTTTAGGAGTCCCACATCCAGTCCCATCGTTGACATCTCGGCCTAATGAATGTATCCACGCAATTTCGGAGCTTTGGCCAATGTAGCCCGTAGCCTGGGAAACTTCGTCCTTATTAAAGTCTTCACTGATACAATCAACGCAGTGGCTGGAGTCAACGAATGGTGGCAACTGGGGGTTGGGAGTTGAAAGAGGTCTTTGATTTCCGAGGAAGGGTGTTTGCCCATCAGGGGACAAGGCGGGACTGGAGGACTCCTCCTACTTCTAGTCAGTATAAAATCTTGGAGTAGACAGAGTGAAGTGGAAATAGCGGGCTCGATCGGAACAAGAGATATGGCTAAGACTAAAGAAATG